TCTATAAGAGACATGAGATATTTTACTTAGAATCATACTATAAATGGAATTAGGATTTTCTCAAGGAATCGAAAACCTCTCAGTATGTATATGTGCAGATTCAATCTAAATTGTCTACTCCAAGCCATATGTATGTATAATGTATATTTGTGCATTTCATATGGGAGAAATTGATGCTGAATAATAATAATTTTTTATTATAATACATTACTTATTTAATTGTTTGTAGAACAAGTGTTTAAAAACAGTCTATATCTAGTATTGGTTCAATTGACAAAAGGGGTATTATTATATTCAGGGAGGGTGAATGAAGATAGAGAAAAAAACTAGTTTTGTAGACATTGTCAGCATCAAAATGATCCAGTTTATTCACTATATTGACTAAACTTTAAAATCTATCCGACATTTATTCTCAATGTAATCACATTACATTATAGCATGTTTACGTGTCATATGATTGAAAAAAAATGTGTATTATGTACATAATTCTCAGGCTAATAATTGTAGCAGAATTCTTCATTGTAATTTTAAATTAATCAGAATTATAGGTAGGTGAAGTAATCGATTGGTTGGTATTTGTAGGCATAAACTTTAACAGTTCTCTGCTGAAGTTAACACTGCCTAATTATTTACTTAGTGCGTCGGTGTTTCAATGGCAGAATGCTCGCTAGCTGCGCAAGAAGTCCGGGTGCGATTCCCGACTGACTCACTCTTAAACCTTGTGTAGCTCGTAGTAAGTCTGGAAAAGTCAGAAGGTTGGATTTGAAGTTAAAAATCATACACTGTAAAAAGATAATACAATTGCTACTGAAACTATAAAGTTCAAAGCTTGAAGTCGTACGTTCCAGTCGGAACTGAAGGGATGAGAAAATTGGAGTTATTTGCTCAGTTTGGTTTTTATGTGGTCAGAACAGCAGAAACTAGATAGTCCTATCTCCTGATGAATAGTTGCATAGTATTTGCTGCATTAAAAATTAACAGGCAACAGATCGTTTATTAAGGAAAATCAACACATATTTATAGATTTTAATGTAGATTATTGTTAGTAGAAAATGCAGTCTTTTGATTGGTTGTTTCTCACAGAAAGTTAACCTTGCATCTCTTTGTGGCTTTGTCACATCATCCATATGCTAACTGTATCCGCCTACGCAAAGTCTTTGTTCTCATTTTCTCACCACCAATATTGGGGACATAAACATTGACGTCAATTACTGTCTACCAACTTTGGCTAGCAGCCAGCTCTCACCACAGTACGTTTCACAACTGATAGAAGAGATTTCTAATAATGGAGATAACAATATTTTGTAACCTCATATAGGTATTTTCTTTAAGGCTGAGTTTCAAATCATACAAGTAACCCAATGAAAGCATAATCAAATATTCACCTGTATAAAGTTATGTATTACAGCCATCATATAAGTCTTCTGCAGTTTCTGCTCTTGTACTTTGATAGCAGCAAACAGATTAGCAACAAATCACTTTCATTTTCAGGCATCTCATAGTGAGATAACTCTTTAGCAGTATAGATAAATGAAACCATTCCTAATGCTTATATGTTTGAAGTTAAACTCAATTCCGATATATTTAACTGTCTTCCTTATTCTTCACTACACCTTATTCATATATGATTTAAGTAAAGCTTCAAAGTCTAGTCACAAATATCATCTTATTATTCACGAATGAATGCTTAAGTACATTTCCCCTTTGTTTAATTTTGACGAAAACACTTAGAATAGCAATTCTGGATGTTTTGCATTGGACAGATTCAAAGAATAAGTAGATTTGGACATAAATTCCAAATACCTACCTAAGAATAACCAAACAAGTAAAGTAAAATGAGGTGTGATACTGGAAAAACATTTTTAAATTGATCGTAGTGTGTTTTTGTGGTTGTACTGCTGACTTCAATCTTTTGGCGTTTTATTACTTATATGCTGTTTAGTAGTATATGATAAACTTCTTTCTACATATATATATTTCATTAACCTGCAAAATAATTGTGTATAATGTCTGATACACTGAACGATACACTTTATTTTTCATGTTTGTCACTTAGTCAGCAGGGTAAGTTAACACTCCCTACAAATAAGCACAATTTGCCAAGTAAAAGTATGCTGAAAAACTCCTCACAGGTTGAACCTCAGCTTTTTTTTATCCTTCACGTTACCCAGTGGAACATAGGGCTTCAATCTAGTGGCTTGAAGTTTCTGTAGGAGTGTTTATTCTACAGGATGGGGTTGCTAGCCTCATGCCCAACCTTTCCTCTTCACCAGCGTTACTTCTGGCTTAGCGAGGTAAAGGAGTGCGTCGGCCGAGGATCGAACCCCGGACCATGTGCATGGTCGGCGAGCGTCCTAACCGCTATGCCACCGACGCATTGAACCTCAGTAAATACATTAAAATACAGTGATACTTAGAAAGTGGTTTAGCACTCAACCTAAAATCATCAAGTCCTGAGTATATACCTCATACGAATTATCACCGTTTTTATGGATGTTCGAGGTTAAGCTACTTTATTATTTCTGCTATGCAATTAACATTAACTATGTTGCCATCTTAGAAATTAACTCATACACCACTTGACTATCACTACTAATTCTTCATCATGTGCAATAACTTAAACAAAGATAGGTATTTATCGATGTATTGTAATCATCTGTCCTCACATATATCATGTGACTGTATTTGATAAAAGAAAATGTTTACTGATACGATCCAGGTTTGTTTTATACCCTTTAGGTAAATTGTTTACTGAATTCCAGTGAAAGAAAGCCTATCATTTATTGTTCTTTTATTAATGACTATAATCATGCAGAATCTAAGTTCTAAATTATTGTTTCGGAAATGTGTAGGCTAATTCAGGCTTTAGGAGTGATTTAATTGAATTTTAGATTTTTCCCGACGATTGATTGGACCGAAGTGCTCGGTCTCAGGTTGACATGTCGGCTTCTTGAGCAGATGCTTCGGCGATGTCTGGCCATTTAATTAGTATTTAATTGGTGGATGGTGACTAGCAGTGGAATCCAGGATGCGCATTTCGTCCTACTTGGGACTCGTCATCTGGATGCACCTGCATTTCTCAGTGAGTGATGATGCAGGTGCGTCCAGATGACGAGTCCCAAATAGGACGAAATGCGCATCCTGGATTCCACTGCTAGTCACCATCCACCAATTAAATTTAGGAGTGATAGTTGCAAATATTGTTATGTGGTTAAATACTAGATAATGTTTTGCAATATATCGGTTCAATTTTAAGACTGGCTAAATAGCCGACGAATCAACTTAGGACTTTGCAGAGATGGGTGTCAGTTTATGTTGCATCACTGTAAGAAATACAAAAGAAGAAAACCGAATGTAATGATACTGTAATGGGTGTGTGGGTAAAAGAATTATTTAATAAAGATTGGTGAGGTGGTTCAGAATACTCACATCTCATTCTGAGGGATTTTGAGTCATACCGCCCAGTGTCACCAACCACTGATTCTAAGTATAATGAGCACCTCAGCCAGGCAACATGCACCTATTCCCATGCAACTGACGCTAACAGTCAATCTCTTCATGGATATGTATTATGTCTTCGTCTGATAACTAACAATTTTCAATCTAATCGTATATCCGGTAAAATTGCGGTGGTTTGACATGTACAGCACATTTTCTAGTCATCTTAATAAGTGAAACCTTACAAACCCAGTGACTGAATTCTTTTTACTAAACACTATAATTAGCCTCGTGCGTCGGTGGCACAGCGGTAGAATGCTCGCCGACCACGCATGTGGTCCGGGGTTCGATTCCTAGCCGACGCACTCCTTTACCTCGCTAAGCCAGTAATAAGACTGTTAAAGAGGGAAGGTTGGGCATGAGGCTAGCCAGCATCCCCATCCTGTAGGAATAAACACCACTTGTGATGAAACTTCAAGCCTCTAGCTTGAAGCCGTATGTTCCACAGGGAACGTAAAGGAGTAATAAAAAATAATAATTAGCCTCAGAATTGTTTACCATATTTCTCCACTTGATATGATGAATTTAATACGAAACGAGAATAGTAAAATGCCGTGTCATTTGTATTAGTGCTGATACTTTTTCAATAACCACCGTATTACAACTGATCCAGAGCTCCATATGATTGAAATCTCTAGCTCATTCGATTAATTTATACTTCCTCCCTAGAAAAGGAGTGGTTTCAGACTAGTCCTGTAACAATCTCTTGCTTTTGACACGAGACAAAGTGCATTGCAGAAATACTGTGAAAGGTCAGGAAACAAATATATGTTAACCATAAGTCAACTGGTAATTTGCAGCTCAGTGGTTTAGCTACTCGACTGAGTCCCGCACCACCTACTTCAATATGAGTAACTGTTAGTATCAGTATCATTCACCTAATAATTAGGGCTCATAGCGCGGTACATGGATAATTGGTCCTGGGTCATTGGATTCTGAGTTACTAACTTTTCTGGTAGAAAGGCAATTCCTGAAAAGTTGAAGTATGTTGCAGTCATGCTTATCAGAACATTTTTAAGAAAACAGATGATATTATTAGGCATTCCTGACGGACAACTATTTTTCTTCAACTGATATTAGTTCGTGACAATATCAACCTTCAATGTATACTGAGACGCTAAGTCCTTGAAATCACTTCCATTGCTCTGTGTGGACTGTATTTCCCCATACAATCAAACATTGTCTTATTGGTTTTAAAATTTGACTCTGTTATTTGTACAAAATCAGGATTCACTATTTGAATTACTGAAACTTTGGTAAAAAGTAAATAAACTACGGTGAAACTTTCAATTCTCATAGAATTAATTTTCTCTTTATAATACATTAAATAAAGTGCTTTTTAGACCGAAACAACCACTGTTGGTGTAGTAAGTAATACAGGAATATCGACTTTTATGACGCACACCATTATATCTTTCAAATATATTACTTTGTTCTCCGTTACACACAACACTCATTTCGATACTAATTGTAAAAAAATATGTTTAAATTTATTACTTTAGGGTTTTATTGTAGCAGAAAAATCACCATGGTTTCATATTGGGTGTGTGAGTCAATTCGCAGAACCTGGTGCAATATTTGATTCAACTGCCGATGGAATATTACCTTATGTTCCAGGAGTTTTACATTCTTTGATAATTTTTGTTATGAATCAAATGATTTTTCGCGTAATTGCTGAACATTTGACTGAATGGGAGAATCATTCCGTAAGTCATGTCTGAGTTATTTAACATTATGTCGTTAAAGTTGTTGGCTTTCACCTCTACTGATGCTTAACTGCAAATGCTGGATCATTTAATTTGTCCCATAGTCATAAACCGATATTATTTTGAGAACTACTGATTAAATTTCTCGTTTTAGTTTGGGACTTTGTATTAGTATGTTCACTGTTAGTCTTCCTCACTTCGGTGAGATAGGAAAACACGTAATGTCAGGACAAGATTCAGCAGTAAGTCCTGTCTTCGCTGTTCCTTCCGCCATTCTGTTGGTTTGCATTTGTAAACCGTCGATTTATTTACATACGAGATATACATCCGTGAAGTGCAGATCTTCTAGGGCATTTTCGTAGTCGCAGCTTATGCGTCCATTCTTACTTCCCATAGTCTGTTGCTACAGAAACTTCAGCACGTTGCGTGAACCAGTCTACCATAATCATGAAGGTCATCGATGACATTATGTAGCTTTTACGTACTCCTGTTTCCACTTCAAACTCTTCAGTGGGCTTTCCGTTGTTAATTCTTCGGCATGCGGTATCACCACATATCTGTTGAGGCTTGTAGAAGCTTTCGACACTCCCTGGTGTTGAAGCGATTTCCAAATTGCTTCATAGTTGTTGCTTTCGAAGACTTTTTTCAGCAGTCGAAGAAGCTGAGGTACGGAGTCGTCTGCCGTTCTACCTTGTGTTTTATGATGATGCATAGTGTTGCAATCTGGTCTGCGCACGACTTGTTTTTCCTAAATCCAACGTGTTCTATACGAAGTCTTTCGTCGAGGGTATCTTTTAGTCTTTTCAGGATAGTGGGGCTTAATATTTTGATTTGGGTGAGCACGAGCATGATACCCTGCTACTTCTTGCGTAGACAGGCTTAATTTATTCTTTCAGTCTGCAGGTACGTTTCCTTCCACACCTTTTTCAGTAGTGGCGTAAGCTTATCCGCTAAGGTCTTGTGTTTTGTTTTCATTTTCTTGAAGTGTTTTGCTTATGAAGCTCCCCTAGCTTACTACCTGGGCACCTAAACTTCAAGAGTAAATCAAAGTTTAAGGGTCAAATGTTTCAACTAATGGGCCAAATCTTGATACTACTCGACACAGTGAAACTTTTTGCCGAAAGATATTATTTATCCATAATTTCAATAGACTCCTGTTTTACTTATTTCTGTTTGTCTTTTTTTGTCCTACCTTTTTTTTAGACTAATGAAGCCTATGAACGTGCATTAATTATAAAGCGTTTCTTATTCGAATTAGTTGATGCTTATGGGAGTTTAGCATATTTAGGCTTCATACTTGCTGATCGTATGGCCTTACGTTCACTATTACTAACAATGTTTGCTACAGATTCAGTGAGACGTTTAACACTAGAATGTATAATCCCATATCTACTCTATCGATTTCGTGCATGGAAAGAAAAGCAAGCGGTTGGCTTATTGAAACGTTCCACTGACGTATCAACCAATAATCAAATTCGTGTTGAACGAGAATTATGCGCTGATGTCTATGAATCCTTTGATGATTACTTAGAAATGGTTTTACAGCATGGTTATCTTGTCTTATTCGCGTATACATCACCATTATTTATTACAATCTTAGCTATATTATGCACATTTTTTGAAGTACATTTTGATGTTTTTAAACTTTTTTGGGTAACCCAGTGTCCTAAATCAAATTTATTAGTAAGAGGACAGTCTATCTGGTTACTGTTATTAGGTGTACAAGCTTGGCTATCTGTGTTGACAAATGCTGGATTATTGATTTCTGAAATCGATCGATTAGAAATACTCACTACACTTTCAACTAGCGCCATTTTTCTAATATTTGAACACTGTCTTATCTTTACTGCATTGTGTATACACTTTTTAATATCTGATGTACCAGCCAATGTTCGTGATGCTAGACTAGCTAGAGACTTTGCCAGAGTACGTTTATTACATAATATAAAAGAGTGAATGATGTGTGTTTTCTTGAGGTAGAACAAATCTTTAAAACATGATACAACTTGTCTATCAGTTAACCGAACAGTCAACTCCTTCTCAGATATCCTCATATTATCTTATTATTACTTTTACTTTCAATTAGTACAACGATGATCCGACGTTTAGGATAGTGTTAACTAACTTTCCTTATGTACTACTTTTCTATATATATATATATATATATATATATATATATATATATATGACAGTGATATCTGGGATTTTTCTAATACTCTTTCTGTGTTTTGTGCATGCTTATGAAACACTGATTTAGTTTGTTTAACTTTATCTTTAAAATAATTTATCGTTCCTTTTTTTTCTCCCAATGGAATCTTATATTGATCATGACATTTTCAATATTCAGTTAGTTCTGTTTTCTATCTCACAATCAGCATGTGTATCCACAATTATATGAAGCATACGTAGTATAATTTTTAGAGTGAAATCGAGTTTCTGCCTTTAGTTGTTTGCGTGTTGGCATTGATTGAAAGTTTCATAGGCTGGATATCGTCATAAACCATACTAAGTTGAGACTTTTCAGAGATATGCATTCACAGCTTCCTATTCTTGACATACACAAGTCTGCATGGTTAAAGTTATCGAATTCAATTTGTATCTTTAAGGCGATTATGTAATTCTTCGCTCTGACTAACAAAGGGATCTACTTGATTTGACTGGGAAAAAATAAAGTGTTTAATCTTATTGGTATCATTCTCCCACATGGATTACAAGTCGTACAATTAGACTGCCCAATTTCAGTTCAATAATCTTGTCACAAATGGTGGGCTCAGTGGCTATACAAATTTCTCATATTAGGCTGTTCAAGTATATACACTCGACTGAACTTACATACTTAACAGGCAGCTAAGAAACCGTTAAACCTCGAAATTCAAGATGATAACGCAGGTTTTATTTTGACGAAGAAATAACTAAACACATATCTGAGGATGACAGAAGTAGTCATCCTAAGGAAGCCTCGCATCATATCCAGTCTGCTGTAAAAATAGTGGTAAATGTTGTTGGTTTCCGAGAAAGACAGTACTTCAACTACTTGTTCAGTGAGACAACTAGAATGTTATACAGATCGCTTTGGTGAGAAATTGAAGTGGTCTACAGCCACACTGAATTCGCTAAGCATCCAACACATAGTTGTATGGTTGTAGACATTGGTCCTTGAACTGTAACTGAGGATAATAAATTTCTCTCTAATGTGAAACAAGGCAAAGAAATAGGTGTTTAAGGATGGTGGTCATGAACTGTAGTGTGGCTTAGCTAAGATATTCGGTAATGTGTGGGAATCCAAAGTAGTCCCTTTGGACTGGTGTAAATCATTGGCTATCCCAGTTTATAAGAAAGAAGACAATTCCCCCTGGATAATCATAGGGCGATCAGCTTGATTAGCATAGTATCTAAGATTCTGGGTCCCATAGTCCTGCACATACTGGACGGCACTAAGGAGAAACAAACAAGTTAGTGAAACATAGGCATACGGGTGTTCAACATTTTCCATTTGGTTCCGTCGACAGTGAGTTACTGTTTTGACATTACATATACACTGATGGACGTGCCTTTGATCACCTTTTGCAATTTAGAGATTGAGTTGTTATCAGAAAACTGTCTTATGGACTTCGGGCCGAAGATGCAGACAAAAATTCGGAGTTTTCTGAACACCTTGCGCCCAAATCTTGGTATATTCAACATGTGATTCGCCTGTGTCAGATGTAAGATGATGCTGTAAGACTGATGTGGTTCGACTCCTAGTTTATTGACAGGGGTGAAGTGATTGGGTGGGTTAATCAATTCACTTATTTGGAAAGTTGCAATAGCTATGACTGCTGATCGAATCTCAGCATAGATACAAAAGACACGTCTGGCATTTACCAATTAGCCTCATATCTAGGGTAGACGCAATATGCAACTGCCGATCAAAGGGTATACACGCTACACAGCAGTTCTCTGCGTCTTTCTTTATAGCTATGACACCCGGTTATTAAAAGTGGAGGATTTGAAGGAACTGAATGTCTTGGAACATAGGCATTTGAGTTCCGTCTCTCATGTCATGTGTTAAGTAATACTGAGCTTAGAAACATTAATTCTTGGTGTGCGGTTTACATTTAGTGTGTTCTACTTTATTGTTAAAATAATCCTAACGGACAACTTTTTGACTTTTTGAACCAACTGGGAGAAATTAGTTTTTCATTGGCGTCTAAAACACGCAGCAGTTCATTTCATATCGGTGCACTATTAAATTTTATCCACCGGTATAGCTTACATGGACATCTTTCATTGAAAAGACTATAAAACAATCTCACGATTACACATAGAGAGTTATATCTCAGTGCCATAATGAAGAACCTGGATGTAGACTGTTTAACTAAGTTCATCAAATAGTAATAAAAGTAATGGGTAGATGAAAAATAGTTGACAAGTCTAGTTTTCTTATCGATTTACAGTAACTTGACGAAAGTGTTTTTCCAGATGGTCTTCATATAGGTTTAGTGGAAATATGCCAGTTATACATTTTGTTTTCATAAGATGTACGCTGATGTATTTCTGAGTAGCTTGTAATAAATAAAGTAGCTGAGTATGTTAGAACCATTTATACATTTTAATGATTTCTTCAGTTGTAGATGCCAAAAGTCCATTTTAAATCCACATAATGGGTCTATGAATCGTGACCAACGAAGAATGAAGCGTTTATGTTTGATGATCACTGGAATTGGAAGGCTACAGAAATTCAGGTGTGTGCTACCTTAGATGTTCCGCTTGTATATGACGGAATCACAAAGTCAGAATATTTGATATAAATCACAATTCTTGATATCAATACGAAATTAAGGGCATATAATAACAGAAATAGGGTTATAAAATAACTTATGAGCTAATTGTGCTTTAGTTGACATCCCAGTATTAATTTGAATAATAAGTTAGAAACTCATAGTCACCCAAGTATGTGTCTTTTCTCAGCAAGTCACGAATAGTTGCTGCGCAAATAGTATCATCTTAGACAGGAGCACCTCATTTGATCATATTATCTATCATCTTAATTTTTTAAAATTTTAATTCTGTTTCCCTCTGGAATGTATGCAAACCATTTTACCTGTGGTTTCAAATCGTCCGTTAAACTAAATATATCATATGTTATCTATCATTTCTAATAACAATGTATAATCTTTGGGATAGATCAGCTCCTTCAATGTTGCCAATCCGCCTTGCTAACTAGTGTCAATAAGCACAGAATCTCGGTCCAGGGCTGATTGCTTCATATTGCCTAACATCAATTGAAAGTGCTTCGCAATGAGCGGCGACCAATCTGAGAACATGACTGATAGAACTCAGTCAGTAACAACAGTAAGGATTAGGTACATGACATTGTTTGACTTCAAGGCACCAATCAATATAAAGGTAATTTATGTTAAGCTAGTAAATCTGTTTGATTTTCTTTGCCCTTGCATGCATTTAATCTGAAAATTTTATTTAATGTGAAATGATTAGTTTCAAGCTGTTGAAATTGAGTCAGTCAAAGTGCTTTTTCAGTGAATGACCTTAGAATTATCATTCATCTACACAACAATGTGACTCTCATAAATAGAATAAGGTTAGAGTTTCTTCTCTCTTAATTTTCTTAAATCACTATTTAACTGCATGAAATTTAGTCATTATTAAATTGTAGATAGATATTAGAAAGGTGGATATATCGTTAACGTCAAATTATGATTCAGTGGTCTAAAATACCAATCGATATGACTCCAATACAGATTATCTTTGACAGAATTCATTTAAAACAGTTTTGTACTTGAGATTTTCGGAATAGATTTAAGATCAATAATCTTCCTGTAGAAGTTGCATATTTAATTAATAATGATAAAGTTGTTTCCAAGTATATTTCTTCACATACCAACACCACTCGAAGAACACTTGGTAACCAGGTAGTAGGCGGTGTCTATTTGGGAGTCACCATCAGTGTTCACCCTAACTGGAACAAATCAGCCATCCAGTGTCTCCTCGTTTTTTATGGTTCTGTAACTGCCGTTAAAGTTGTGAAATTCCACCAAACCAACTCTTGAAAATCTAAGCCATATGTTTGATAGTGACTGATGATCGAGTGTTGAACAAAAAGCAGTTGAATGTAGTAGATATAGTGGAGAAGGTTTGTAGCTCAGATGAGTGATTTCGGTGTAGTTGTGTTCTCTGAGCTGGATGGTTTAGTTGCGAAGCTCTCATTGTCTTACTAGACAGAATCTTCAGCGCATACTTCGACTTCAAGTATGTATATATGTATTTATGATTACCAGTGAATGTTAATGGTGTTATTCATCGTTAAGTCTGCTTATCTTTATCTCTTCGAAGGTTTTCAGTTAGGTGTTACAAAAGTAGCGACAAGAATCATGAAAAATATCAGAAGTTTAGTTTGAAGTCAAGTTGGTTGGTATGGTGACTGCGTTATGACTGTGTTATTAAAATAACTCAGAGTAAACTATTTCCAGTTCGACAGAGTTTAGTGCAAAAAGATTGTTTGATAGAATTATGATTACTTCAAATTTAAGGATCGTTTATTAAATTTATCAAAAATGATAGCGAAAGACACGTAGTCTAGTGCTTATATCGCAGGTTAAATCAAGGATGAACATAAGTTAAGAAACAGCCTGATGTGTCTTAACACCTGATACCTCGTACTAAATTGCTACCCCCTTATTACCCCTGTTGTTAACTTGACTGCTGTTCAATTTTAGTTGAATTATACTGAATCCCGCCAATTATATTACGTCACTCTATTTCCCTATTTAATTGTAACTTTATTTTGGATACTACCCGATTAGCTCTTCTCATATTAAGTAGTTTGTTATCTAAAATTTATAATTCTAATGGCACACCTTTGGAAGTATTCTTTTTGTTGCTGAGAAAATTTACTATACGTATATGCGATTGTACAGCTTGAGAATGCTATCTCTGAAATGATTAGCACTTCGTTGAATGCCTCTTCTTTTACAGTTAAGAAACTATCAAAATCTGGATAATCGTTTCATTTAACCTATGAAGTCTTCTTTCGAGTATTCAAATAAATTTAAACAAGATTGAATTCAAAGCAATCAAATCAACTAGTCGAAATATTTGTAGTTTATATTCATATTTAACATTAATACACGATACCAAGGAAATCAGAGAATTCTTAAAATACATTAATAATAGTGATGAATAAGACCTTAGAGCATTTATATGGAGTGTTGAGATTGAGTTTTTCAAAATACTTGAAATAGGCATCCTGTTAATAGTTTCATGCTTTGAACTTTTAGAAAGCTTGGACAGTTTCAAAAATCCCAAAAGAAGGACATTGACTCGTGCATCTTTGCGTTTAACATATATTAAACACAAATAAATATTGATATAGGAAGAATTGGATCAATCGTCATGTTGAAGATCATTTCAATTACTAAT